AAAAATAAGAAAAAATTTGTGGTATCGAAGTAAAATCTCGGTGTTGGGTTTGGAGTGATGCGACGCCGCGCTGCTCCCTCCATATAAATGGGAATGGCCACTTTATAGTGGATTAAATTTGGAATATTTCCCCCCTGGAACTGGTAAAAAAATGCACCAAACGCATTTATTTTTTATTTACTTAATAATTTGTTTGTTTTCTTTTCGAAAGTAACCGCCAGGTCAAATTGGCGACGTCGCTTTTGTGCCTGAAGCAGGAGAAGCTTTAGTCACATTGAATCATATTTAATCATAAATTTAATTATGCTCAGACAAGGCCGATCGGAATATTTTTAAAGAACAATTTGAAGCAAATAATTGCACGTTAGTGAAACTGCGGGGGCTGCATTACCATGAGGAAAGGAAGGTTTATTCTTTATGGGCTCACAAAATAAAATCAGATTTTTCCTTTCCCGATGTGTATGGGGTTGAAGGAGAAATGAGGTGTTTTCAGGAAAAAGGGAGGGTTTTTTTTTTACAGAAAAGTGACCTGAGAATCCCCCTCAACTGCCCAATCATGGACAGGCTGAAAATCTTCACATTTCACCAGCCTGAAATTTGTGAGCAAGAGGGGACCTGGGATGAGCCCTGGGCTGTCCCCTGAACATCTGCTGCAAGAAAAGTTTGGAAAACCCCAACCCCTGCTCCAGATGGTCCAGCTGACCCCAAAACCTCAAATTTTTATGTGTTTTTTTCACCCTTTGGTGAAGCACAAACGCTGCAACCCCTAAAGCACTGCCCAGTCCATGTGCTCCTCCCATAGCCAACGTTTGTGCTTTCAATTTTAATCTTAATTTTAATTTGAGTTGTAATTTTAATTTTAGTTTAGTTGTAATTTTAATTTTAGTTTTAGTTTTAGTTTTAGTTTTAGTTTTAATTTAGTTTTATTTTAGCTTTAATTTTAATTTTAATTTTAATTGTAAATTTGCTTTTCATTTCAATTTCAATTCTATTTTTATTTCATTTTAATTTTCATTAATAATAAAGGACAAGGGCTAGGAGGGGAAGCTGATGGCTTTACAGCAAAATAAATTGCAAAAACTGGGGATGCTGCATCCAGCTTCAAACTCTTGAACCTGGGGCTGCGGCTCTACGTSGAGACCGATGATGGTGAGGCCWGCCTGCAGCGTTTGGGGCCAAATCCCCAGGAATTGGGAGCAAATTCTCAGGAATTGGGGTAAAATGGAGATGGGAATTTACAGCTGAGGGCGAGGGGCTCGGAGCCAGTGGGTTTGTCCCTAAAATCCATTTTTTGGGACTCGGTGGTGAGGTTTTAAGCCATTTCTGACCCCTTTTCTCCCCACAGTGGAACAGGACCGGGATATTTTCTCGCCCAAGCCCTACTGGAAGGAGTTTCGCTTCGACCTGGCGCAGGTGCCGGCCGGAGAGGCGGTGACGGCCGCAGAGTTCCGCATCTACAAAACACGGGGGATCCACGGAAATGGCAACGGCAGCCTCCACATCAGCATCTACGAGGTGGCGGCGCAGCATCCCAACAGGTGAGGGGATGGGAATGGGATGGGATGGGGTGGAAGTGGTGGGAATGGGATGGGAATGGGATTGGGATGGTGGGAATGGGGAGAATGGGGGTGGGAATGGAATGGGGATGGTGGGAATGGGAATGGGAATGGAGATAAGAATGGTGGGAATGGGAATGGCATGAATGGGAATGGATGGGTATGGGGGTAAGAATGGGGATGATGGGGATGGGGATGGGAATGAATTTGGGAATGGGAATGAGAAGGAAGGTGATGGAGTTGAGAAAGGGTGTGGGAATGGGTGTGGGAGTGAAGGAGATGGGAAGGGAATGGGGATGGAAATGGGGGTGAAGTTGATGAGAATGGGAATGGAAATGGAAATAGGAATGAGGGTGGGAATGGGAATGGGAATGAAGAAGATGGGAATGCGGGTGGAAACGAGGATGATGGGGATAGGGATGGGTACAGGAATGAGGATGGGAATGAAGGGAAAGGGAATTGGAATGAAGATATGGAGATGGGAATGAAGATGATGTGGAGGCCATGGGACTGGGGATGAAGATGATGGGATGGGAATGGGGATGAAGATGATGGGATGGGAATGGGGATGAAGATGATGGGATGGGGATGGGGATGGGGAGCCGCTCCAGTCCTTCCCCTCCCGGCCCCGCTGTGTCCGGCCACTCCCACGCTGTCCCCTGGGGCACTGCCACGCCCTGGCACCTCCACCTTTTCCCAGGACACCACCAGAGTGTCCAGCCCAGCCTGGAGCCGGGATCTGCCCAAACCCATCTCCCAGGACTCATTTCCATAATTATGRTCCTGCTGGAGCCCTTTGGGTGCTGTCACTCACTTGCCCCATTCCTGTAGGGAATCTGAGCTGTTCCTGCTGGACGTGCAGGACCTGCGTGCGGGGACAGAGGGGTGGTTGGTGTTTGATGTCACAGCCGCCAGCAACCGCTGGTCAGTGGATCCCAAATACAACCTGGGGCTGCGGCTCTACGTGGAGACCGATGATGGTGAGGCCTGCCTGCAGCGTTTGGGGCTAAATTCTCAGGAATTGGGGGCAAATTCTCAGGAATTGGGGTAAAATTCCCAGGAATTTGGGCCTAATTTCCCAGGAATTTGGGCCAAATTCTCAGGAATTGGGGTAAAATTCCCAGGAATTTGGGTCAAATTTCCAGGAACTGGGGCAAAATCCTCGGCAATTCGGGTAAAATTCCCAAGAATTGGGGTAAAATTCTCAGGAATTTGGGCCAAATTTCCCAGGAATTTGGGCCAAATTCTCAGGAATTCGGGTAAAATTCCCAAGAATTGGGGTAAAATTCTCGGGAATTTGGGCCAAATTTCCCAGGAACTGGGGTCAAATTCTCAGGAATTGGGGGCAAATTCCCAGAAATTCTCAGGAACTGCGACCCAGTTTCCAGGAATTGAGGTCAAATCTCCAGGAATTGGGGGAAAATTCTCAGGAATTGGGGTCAAATTCCCAGAAACTGGGGTCAAATTCTCAGGAATTTGGGTCAAATTCTCAGGAACAGGGGTCAAATTCTCAGGAACTGGAGTCATGTCCCCAGGAGTTGGGGTCAAATTCCCAGGAAATGGGGCAAAATCCTCAGCAATTTGGGTAAAAGTTCCAGCAATTGGGGTAAAATTCCCAGGAATTGGGGCCAAATTCCCAGGAATTTGGGTCAGATTATCAGGAATTGGAGTTTTCTTGGTGCTGTGGGATGTGCTGGGGGGTGCTCCCGGTGCAATTTTAAATTTCCAGCTGTGGTTTTTGAGTTCTGATGGCTTGATTTTAACCCTTTAATTGCTCCCTGTGACCATTTTGTGGCAGAATGGGATCCTCGGGAGGGCTGGGATACCAAAACCGCTGCAAATTCCTCTTATTTTCGATTTTTATTTTAACCAAACGAGTTGGGTTTGAGGCCAAACCCATCCCTGGTGCTGTCCCCKCAGGTCACAGCGTGGACCCGGGCTCTGCCGGGCTCCTGGGGCGTCGGGGACCTCGTTCCAAGCAGCCCTTCATGGTGACATTTTTCCGGGCCAGCCCCAACCCCTCCCGGATCCCACGAGCAGCAAAACCCCCGAGAAGACGACAACCCAAAAAATCCAACGATCTCCCSCACCCCAACAAGCTCCCGGGGATTTTTGGTAAGATAATTTCTGGTGGGATCCCTGTGAAAAACAGAGCTGTGCTGTCAGCAGCTCGAAATCCCGATTTTTTTAGAGTAAAAAGCTCTGAGGTTTTGGGATTGGAGGATTTTTGCAGTTTGGGAGGTGCAGGGAGGGTTTGGGTTGGATGCCCTCAAGGAAACGGTGTTTTGTGGTGATTTCTGAATATTGGAATTTTTGCCTCATTGCCCTTGGTTTGGGAGCCCTGGGAAGGTGTCACAGCTCCAGAAAGTTCAGAGGAGAGGAGCAGGAAAGCCCTGAAACCACAGAATTTGGGAAATCCTCAAAGTGAGGGTTTCCAGGGCTGAATTCCACCATCCCAATATCGGGATATCAATCCATAGGGCAGCGTGAAGCTTTTTCTCCCTTTGTGCAACAACAAAAACTCCTCTCTTTTGATTTTCCTGGGCTCATCCCATCCCAGGAGCYGGACCCAACCTCTGAGGGGGTTTTGGGGTATCCCAGGGCTGGAATTTTTTGTCCCTTTTCCCCACAGACGATGTCCACACCACAGATGGGCGGCAAGTGTGCCGGCGCCACGAGCTCTACGTCAGCTTCCAGGACCTCGGCTGGCTGGTACTTGTCTGCTGGGAGAAATAAATGATAAAAAAATTTAAAAAAACCCTCCATGATCCCATTCCCCTTTCCCAAGATGGATTCTCCCGCTCGTGGAGCCATCCTGAGAGTTGGGATGGCAAACATGAACCRCCACAACCCCCAAACCTCACCGGTGACCCCGAGCAACTCACGGCTCATTCCCAAAATTCAAAATAAACCCTCAAAACCAAAATAATAAAATATATAATAAATAAAATAAAACCCCCAAAATTCAAAATAAACTGCTGGCCCGGCCACGGGGGGAGGAGGTGGCTGAGTTTTTTGTGCAGGTGGGGGATGGATGAGGGTGAAACTCTCGATGAAATCC